GGTGGGGGGAAGAGTAACAAAAGTCAAATTCAAGTTGGTAACTTCTTGGGAACACTTGGTCACACTGTGCTTTGTTCCTTTAGATCAGGAGAAGGTCTCTGATTACGAGATGAAGCTGATGGATCTGGATGTGGAGCAGCTCGGGATTCCAGTAAGTTGGGGCCCAAACGGCCGATTTCTGAATGTGTTGACAATGAGTGTCGGGTTCGAGGGTGAGTGAATGTGGCTCTGCGAGGGCAGCCAGGCTGCAGGGCAGTGCCCCGGCTGGCACAGGGCAGTGACACTGTGTGACACTGTCCCCAGGAGCAGGAGTACAGCTGCGTGGTGAAGATGCCGTCGGCGGAGTTCGCGCGGATCTGCCGGGACCTGAGTCACATCGGCGACGCCGTCGTCATCTCCTGCGCCAAGGACGGCGTCAAGTTCTCGGCCAACGGAGAGCTGGGCAACGGCAACATCAAACTGTCCCAGACCAGCAACGTGGACAAGGAGGAGGAGGCTGTGAGTGCACACAACTCGTTCTCTGAAGCTGCGGGGTTGGGTCGGGGAGTTACGGTTTGGGTTGGAAGGGACCTTCAGAGGGCAGCTGGTGCACCCAGAGGGTGGTTGGGCACTGCCCAGGCTCCCCAGGGCAGTGGGCACAGCCCCAAGGCTGCCAGAGCTCCAGGAGGGTTTGGATGATCCTCTGGGGCACAGGGTGGGACCGGTGGGGCTGGGCCTGTGCAGGGCTGAGGGTTGGACTGATGGTCCCTGTGGGTCCCTCCCAGCTCAGCACATTCTGTGAGCCCCTGCAATGAGCAGGGACAGAGCTGTGGCTGCCCCTGGTTTGTGGGTTATGGACCACGAGTCGCTGCCAGTGTGAGGTCCTTGCCCTGGGCCCCAGCAGTGCTGACCAGGACCATGGAGCAGCACTGACCTCTGCCCAACATGTCTGAGTTACTTGTCTGAGTTGTTCTGTGGAGGGGGCTCCTGCAGCTGCATTTCCTGAGGTCTGCCCTGGTTTTTTAGGTTACAATAGAGATGAACGAGCCAGTCCAGCTGACCTTTGCCCTGAGGTACCTGAACTTCTTCACCAAAGCCACCCCCCTGTCCCCTACAGTCACTCTCAGCATGTCTGCAGACGTTCCTCTGGGTGAGTGCAAGTGGCTCTGCCAGACAAATCTTGTAGGATTAGAACTTGTGACTTGAATTTGCTGTAGAACCTTCTGAGAACCCTTTTTTCCCCTCTCTCTTTCCCAGTGGTGGAGTACAAGATCGCTGACATGGGACACCTAAAGTACTACCTGGCTCCAAAGATCGAGGACCAGCAGGAAGGCTCTTAACTGGGGCAGGACTGAGGGGGATCTGCTCGTGGCTCAGAGAAGGGAATGGTGGTGGTAGCAATTCCAGTGCCTTGGAGCATCCTGGGAGCACTGTTAGGCTTGGCTTGTAGATATCTTTGTAAATATTTTTCAACTTACTATTTTGCTATCCTTGGCATCTTTGGAAATAGGAATTGTTTGGGTTTTTCTAGTCTGTTCCTGTACTCCCAATAATCTCTTGGATGCTGTCTGAAGGTGAAATTTCTGACTCCTCTCAACTTGTGTAGGAGAAGGGGGACAATATTTAATGAGTCAAGATGTCTCCCGGGGTTTCACCTGTGGAGCTGTAGTTTAGGGTTGATGTTTTTATTATGCCACAAGTTTATGTGACTTTGACTTCATTTATTTTTGAAGCTGATATTCAAACTGAAACTTGGAAATAAAAGATACAATTTCATGGGGTTTGTCCTGTTGAAATGTGGATGGGGGAGTGAATCAAATCTTTGTCAGGTGCTGGGGTGCCCGGGCTCCTTTCTCAGGGCACTGCAGGCCCAGAATTCCCAGCCTTGGTCATTTAATTTGTGAAGGGAGGGTGTGGTTACACTTTGGATAATTAATTGGTCCCTGATGCTGTTTCCCTGAATCCTGGAATGGTTTGGGTTGGAAGGGATTGTAAAGCTCCTCCAGTGCCACCCCTGCCCTGGGCAGGGACACCTTCCACTAGCCCAGGTTGCTCCAACCTGGCCTTGGACACTTCCAGAGATCCAGGGGCAGCCACAGCTTCTCTGGGAATTCCATCCCAGCCCCTCCACACCCTCACAGCCAACAATTCCTTCCCAATATCCCATCTAGCCCTGCCCTCTGGCACTGGGAAGCCATTCCCTGTGTCCTGTCCCTCCATCCCTTGTCCCAAGTCCCCCTCCAGCTCTTGGAGCCCCTTCAGGCCCTGGAAGGGGCTCTCAGGTCTCCCTGGATCCTTCTCTTCTCCAGCTGAACCCCCCCAGCTCTCCCAGCCTGGCTCCAGAGCTGAGGGGCTCCAGCCCTTGGAGCAGCTCTGTGGCCTCCTCTGGACTCTCTCCAGCAGCTCCAAATCCTTCTGATGTTGGGGATTCCGGGGCTGGAGCAGCTCTGCAGGTGGGGTCTCACCTGAGGGGCAGAGTCACCTCCTGTGACCTGCTGCCTGTGATTCAAGGGCAGGGGTTCTGTGACACGTTTTCTGTAACAACCCTCACCCTGGGGGTGCCGGAGCTGCCTCGGGCTGTCCCTGTCCCTGCGGCTGCCCCGGGGACTCCCCTGAGGGCACTGGTGGCACTGGGACCCAGAGGTCACACGGGGACCCCTCCTGGCTCTGGCTCAGCTGCTCTGAGGGGAAGGTCTGTGGTGGGTCAGTGGGAGCCTCTCCCACACCTTCCCCTGCTGCTGCCCCCTCCCTGGGCACCAGCAACCCCTGCCCTCATCCAGGGTGTCTGTGACCCTCTTGCTGTGGGTGACGGTTAAAGGTCACCCTGAAGGTGTTTGATCGTGAAAAACGGTTTCAAAGCAGTTCCAGGCAGTTGCTGTTTTTCTTCACTGTTGGTTCCACAAACCCTTTGGTCTCTGCTGAGCCCGAGTGACCCACCCAGAGCTGTGGGGCTGGGAGAACTTGGGCTCTGAGGGGGGTCTGAGGTCTGCAATCCGGGACAGGAGGGGGGAGCTGGGGGGGTCCAACTCTGCTCCCTGGGAACCAGGGACAGGACAAGAGGAAACAGCCTCAAGCTGTGCCAGGGGAGGGTCAGAATGGACATCAGGAAGAATTCCTTCATGGAAAGGGTTGTAAAGCATTGGAAGGGGCTGCCCAGGGAGGTGGTGGAGTCCCCACCCCTGGAAATGTCCAAAAAACGTGTGGATGTGGCACTGGAGGACGTGGGTTAGTGGTGAACACGGTGGTGGTGCTGGCTGAGGGTTGGACTTGCCGATCTTAAAGGTCTTTTCCAACCCAAACGATCCCATGATTTTAAGTATATTTTTTCAGGGGGCTGTGTCCTTCCCACTGCTCAGCAACTCAGGAGTAGCTTGAGCATAAACTGCCTGAAAACCCGTCCCTTGGAAGCCCCGAGTCCCGGAGCAGGAGGATGGCACAAGGTGGCAGGGGCAGGAGGATGGCACAAGGTGGCAGTGCCGGCGAGGAAACGAATCCCGCTGGGTCAGAGCGGCGGTGCTGCCCTGGGATGGACACTGGTCCCTGCTCGGAGCTGGGGACAGGATTTCCCCGTGCCCTGGACCTTGATCCTGTTGGGAGCAGCACTGCTTTGCTCCTGGGGATGGTCTGCAGGTGTCCAAGGCCAGGTTGGACGGGGCTTGGAGCAGCCTGGGCTGGTGGAAGGTGTCCCTGCCCATGGCAGGGGTGGAATGAGAGGATCTTTCTGATCCCTTCCAACCCAAACCAGTTTGGGATTCTGTGGTTTAGACCCTGATTTGCTGCTGTGCTGCAGGTGCCTCCCATGCTGAGCTGTCTCATGTCTCCATTTATCCTCAACTTCCTTGGCTGGTTAATTCAGGAAAAGTCTGGAAGATCTTTGACCCTGAAGTTTTTCATCAGTCACAGAATTCTTGCCCAGAGCAGTGGTAGAAGCCTTAAATAACCAGGGAGCTTTTTGTCCCTCCAAATGTGGTGCTGGGGTGGGATCAGCGCTGTGGTGCCCACGGCAAACTGGCTTTGGAAGAATTTTGTGGAAACTTCGGCTTCAGTGGGGAATCCAAGGTTTGTGATATGGAAATAGGGAAGGATTCTGGGGTGTAAAGCCAGTGATCGAAGCAAATTCTTTTTGGTGCAACTTCCAGCGGTAGCAGAGGTCACCAAACTCTTCCTTTGTGCTGTTCTACCCATAAACACATTGTAAAAATCAGCCAAATTGTTTATTTGCTTATTTTTACAGCTGAAATGACCGAGTTGAGCAGCCTGTTGTTGCAAGAAACATCCTTTAACATTGGTCCTTACACACTTGTGTCCTGTCTGGTCTCTGCATAAATCCTGAAAGCAGCTGGACCTTTACTTTGCCAGGCCCAAATAATGAAAATTTTAAACGATGTTCCCTTTAAAACAAAAAAACAAACACAAAAAAACCCCAAAAACCCCAACCAAATGCAAAAAATGCCTGGGGAGGGTTAATAAATGCCCTGTTTTTCTCCCCGTTTGAGGGAGGAAGTTTCAGAAGTTCATATATTTAGACTTTCTCACCAAGGAGGTAATAAATAAGAAGGGGGGAGGGATAATTCTCAGGAATTTAAGGAGATTGGCCTTCTCAGGCTCCAAATCCAGCCCATATTTTATTAATTCACAGGAAGCAGTTCCCTTGGGAAGCTCCTCGGAGGAGGCACATCCTCACCTGAGTTACCATTCCCGGTGCTGAAATAACGCCCTGGCTGGGTGTGTGTGTCCCCTCTCAGCCCTTCACAACGCCCCCAGGAACGTCCCGGGATATTCCCGGCTGGAAGAGACCCGGGAGCATCCTTTGGGAAAGCAGCTTTGCGGGAAGGCGCGGACGAAGCCGCCGGTCCATAAAACCCCCCTGCGAATCCCAGATGAGCCCCGCTGGATCTCGCAGGACACGGTGCGGACCCACCCTGGTCCAAGGACGCGGGAATTCCAGCGGTTTGGCCGGGAAGGGCCGGGAAGGGCCGGGAAGGGCCGGGAGGGGCCGGCGGGGCGCGGGCGCTGCCGTGACCTGGAAGGAAATCGCCGTCACCGGGATAAACTTCCCGGGCAGCGCGGAAGGGCCGGGCCGGCACCAGGTAGCGGGGCTGGGGGGGGGGGGGTGGGGGGTTTTGGGGGCGTTGGGGTGGGTTTGGGGGGATTTTGGGGGGGTTTGGGAGCGACGCGAGGCCGGGAGCGCCCGGGCGAGGTGGGGACCGGCGGCACTTTGGGATGTGCCGGGGACACTTTGGGATGTCCGGGGACACCTCGGGATGTCTCAGGGACACTTTTGGGTGTCCCCGCTGAGGTTTGAGCTCCCAAAAGGGCCGCAGTGACCCCCCCCAGCCCCTCCGTATGTCCCCTATGGCATATTGCTCCGGTTCAGGGGATAATCGGGAATCCGGGTTTGCGTTTCCCGGCGCTGCCCCGGATCCTCCCCTGGTTTAAAACACAACTGAAATCTGGAATTACGGCCTTAATTATCTTGGCCAAGTTGCTTAGGCCTTACTTGTTTATTTATATAAAGTAAATATTCTTGTTTCTGCTCCTGGACCGTGTCAGAGCACGATTTTAATGCACTGTGGGCTCGGTATGAGGCTTAATGGGGTTAAACCTGGCCCTTAAACTCTCTGAGAGAGTATTTTTTTATGCATTTGTCATGGATAGCTTCTTTCTTGTCCATAGGTGATGTAATGGGAAGGGCAGACAACTTGTGCAGGAGTAAATTAGAAATAATTCCTAAGAAGTCACTAAAAAACCTGGTAAATAATGGGGTGGTGGGTGAGAAAAGAGGGGAAAATGGGGCAGAGTCAGGAAATGTGACATTCATTTCAGAAGTGCTGATTTACTTGGGCTTCTTCCCCTCCTGCACATCCACCCCCAGGCATGTGGGGGGTTTTTAGGAGACCCGGGGGGTGTTTGGGTGCTGGGACCTGAAAAACAGGGATGTGTGAGGAGCTGGGAATACCACCCTGTGGGTGGGAGGTATTTCCTAAAGACTTTCATTCTATGTTTGGGTTTTGCTACCAAAACAAGCCCCGAAGTTCAAACTGAAGGTTCAGCTGTGGGGGTTTGAGATCAGAGGATGTTGATTCTTTTATAAAAGTCAAATTTACAGCAGGAGGAACAAATCTGAGTGAGGAACGTGCCAGTGATTAACAACAGAGGCACAAAGGATTTTGTGGAGATGCATCACCTTTAATGCTAAATCCTGTTATAGAAAGTGTCTTTATCCTTTCCTGTTGGCACAGTTGGAATATGCACTTTTGTTCTCTTTATTCCACACTTTCTCAGCAAATGAAAGCACCATTGAGGCTGGAAAGGCTGGGAAGCCCTTTCCTGCCCCTCTCCTGGGAATTGTCACCCTGGGCTGTGTTTGAGGAGACACCCAGGTCCTGCTGGGCCCTGTTCCTGGCTCTGCAGAGTCAGGGGGGTGTTGGCAGGATGGATCCTGGCTCCAGCCCCTGGGAAGGTGGGCTCCAAGGGACAAGCTCCTTGGTGACCTCATCCCACACACTCCATCCCCTTGAGATGCTCCCCCTGAGTCACAGCTCCTGCTGGATCCACGACACCTCCATTTCGTTCCAGTCTCCAGTGGTTGGTTGTTTTTTAATTCCCAGAACTGCTCTGTTGCAAAACATCCTGATGGTTGAAAAGCTGCTTTGTTTCGCTCTGGTTTGGGTTTCTTTGCTGGTGTCCCTGTTTGGAAGCAGCTGGAGCTGGGACACCTCCCTGCTGGCAGCGGGATCCCCTTGTGAAACGAGAGCTGGGCTGGACATGGGAGGATATTCTGGATTTTCAGTCTGGTTTTAAGCACAGGTTCTACCTTAGCTTGGCTTTTGCTTTCAGAATTGGTAAACCCTCTTGCAGCTGCATCCATTTTGCATTTTAAGCTTAAAGTCAAATGCTTAAATACTTTGTTTGAAAAGTTTTAATTTACGAAGAACAATTTTTGAAGAACAAATTTATGCCTTTTTAGTTGGAACAGCCTTGGCTCTTTAGTTTCTCCTCGGAAACTTGATGTGTTGCTCCCAGACTCCACCAGCCAGTTTTCTCCCACGTTTTTGCTCTTCCCTGTGTTTCCCAGTTCCAGGTGATGCCCAGCCCTCCATGGAATGATGCCGTCCCGCACCAACCTCTCTGCTGGGATTCCCAGTAGCAAAGTCAAATATTCCAAGCTCTCCAGCACTGATGATGGATACATTGACCTGCAGGTAAGAAAAGGGGAAGGAAACCATAAAGCAGGAGGACAGGCAGCTGCAGCTTTGCACTGATGGGCAGCTGCTTGTTTGTGCATCTCTGGCAGAGCAGCTGCAGCTCAGAGAGGGGCAACGCCAGGTGGGAGCCACCACCTCGGCCCTTCCCCTCTGGAAAACCCACAGAGCTTCCCTGGAAACAAGACTGGCTGCTTAACAGATGCATTTCCATGGGGGGAGGTGAGATCTGGAGCAGATGTGAGGGGGTGGGTGGAAGGGCTGGCTCAGCAGGGGCTCCATGGGCAGGATTCCTGGGGAAGAGCTGCCTCAGCCCTTTGTCCCCTGTCACCTGGGGGATTCCCGGCTCTGCCCTGCTGGGAGGGGAGCTGTGCTGAGTTAACCTGGTCAATACTTGGGGTTTTGCCATCCAGTTCAAGAAGAGCCCACCAAAGATCCCCTACAAGGCCATTGCCCTGGCTGTTGTGCTCTTCATGATTGGGACCTTCCTCATCATCATCGGAGCCCTGCTGCTGGCAGGGTACATCAGCAAAGGAGTGAGTGCTTTAATTACTTTAATTACACTTTAATTACACTTGTTATCAGTTTTGCACTGCCTGCCCTGCCCTCAAGGCTGCCATGAGCCCTCAGGAACCACCACGTGACAGGACCAGAGGAAACAGCCTCAAGTTGTACCAGGGGAGGTTTAGATTTGATATTAGGAAAAGGTTTTTCCATGGAACAGGCTGTGCAGGGCAGTGGTGGAGTCACCATCCCTGGAAGTGTCCAAAAAACATGTGGATGTGGCACTTGAGGACATGGTTTAATGGTGAACATGGTGGTGGGTTATGGTTGGACTTGATGACCTCAAAGGTCTTTTCCAGCCTTAACAATTCCATGATTCTGTGATCATGTTCAGTGTAGAAATCCAGAGCCAAAGAGCTGGAAAGTCATTCCCGCCACGGCCTTGCTGTGCCATTTCCCTGGCAGAGATCCCTGTGATCCCTGCAGTCTGGAGCAGGTTCAGAGCTGGGCTGGAGACCTGCCAGGTTGGGCTGAGTGTCCCTGCCCTCCCTGGGGTCCAGTTTCATGTCCCTGCAGAGTCCAGCTCGTTGTCCTGGGAAAACCTCAGCCTGGGGTCATCCCCTCCAGTGCAGATCTTCTGGTGACTGGGGCAGGAGATGCCAGAGCCTGTCCAGGACACAGCAGCAGTTTTCCCACCTCTGTGGATCCATGGGAAGGGGATCTGCTCTTTGGAGCTGCCTGGGTGCTTCTCCCCCTGTCCCTTGGCTGCAGGAATCACTGTCAGTTGGCAGCTCTGCTCATCAGAGTGGCACCAGCAGGGTCTGGGCTCTGTCGGGAGCTCTCCAGGCACAGGGAGCTCCCAGGCCTGGCTGCACATCCAGGGGGGATCAGGAGAAGGGCCCTCCAGGGGTTCCTGCAGCAAGGAGGAGATGCCAGGAGAGGATGAAAGGCTCAGCCTAATGACAACTGATTTTTGTGATTTAGGATGGATTTTTATTTCTCAGCCAGCCAGGCCTTGGGGGTGAACCATGGAATCATGGAATGGTTTGGGTTGGAAGGGACCTTACAGATCATCCTGTTCCAACCCCTGCCATGGGCAGGGACACCTTCCACTGGACCAGGTTGGATGGTCATCCTGAGCATCTCCTCCCTCTCTCCCTGCTTTGCCCTGGCTATTATATTTCATTATTATTATTATTCTATTATATTTATTGTATTATATCCATGTCCTTCAGGTGTGTGAGACAGGGCTGGTGGAGCTCTGCTCCCCCACAGCTCCTGTGCTCACACAGGTCACAGCAGTTCAGAGACAGGAGCCCAGAGCCAGTCTGAGCCCTTCCTCTGTGTCCTGTCATGGGCACAGATAATCATGGAATCCTGGAATGGTTTGGGTTGGGAGGGACCTTACAGATAATTCCAACCCCCTGCCATGGGCAGGGACACCTTCCACCAGCCCAGGTTGCCCCAAGCCCCGTCCAGCCTGGCCTTGGACACTCCCAGGGATGGGGCAGCCACAGCTCCTCTGAGCAGGATGTAAGAGCCAGGAAAGCCCCCCCAGCCAGGCCTGAGGGATGAACCACGGAATGACGGAACAGTTTGGGTCGGGAGGGACCTTACAGATAATTCCAACCCCCTGCCACGGGCAGGGACACCTTCCTCTAGCCCAGGATGTAAGAGAAAGGCAGGCCCCTCGTGCAGATCTCTTCCCACTGCCCTGGGCCGTGTCTCCCTGCAGGAAACGGACCGAGCCATCCCCGTGCTCATCATCGGCATCCTCGTGTTCCTGCCGGGCTTTTACCACCTGCGCATCGCCTACTACGCCTCCAAGGGCTACCGGGGCTACTCCTACGACGACATTCCCGACTTTGACGACTGAACAACCGTCCCATCCCACCCTCAGTAGTTGCTCAGAGCTGGTTTTTGTCCCCCTGGGCCTCGGGGGCCTGGCAGGGCCCCGCTCACGTGTGTCCCTCACACGGTTCCTGGGTTTGAGGGGTTGCAGGTTGTCCAGTTTGGGGGGTTTTGGGGGGGCTGGAACACGGAATTGACCAAAAGGAATTGCAGAGAACTTGGGATTTATGGTATTTTTCCTCTTGCCTGTTGCTGGGAAGTCCTTCCTGGGCGAGGCAATTCTTGCAGTTTTCCAGAAGCAGCTGAGCCGCTTTCAGCAGCAGATCCTTGTTTTTTCTGACTGTTTTATAGAGTTTAGTTTTCCATGAGATTGTGGTTACTGTTGGCTTTACCTTTGCAGACAAACACCATAGTTCAATTCTCCCTCTGCTCTCTGTCCATCAGAAATGCTTCCAGAGTTCTTGTCCTGAGCTTTCGTTGTAGTAACTGAAGTCTGATGTGCAGGGGAGGGGGAAAACAGCACTTGTAGGAAATAATTTACACTCTGCACTTGCTACACAGCTCCTTGTCAGGCTGACTGACTTATTTCCCCACAAACACATTCTTCCCAGGAGAGCTTTTCCCAGGCCACTGTTGCTTTTGGCAAAATCTGCTTATCCCTCACAAGGATTTTGATTATTATTTTAAACAACTGAATGGATACCAGGAGAAGGGTTGGAATCTAGACCAGGACTCAAGTGTCTAAATACCAAAAATCTTGGGTTTGACTAGTGTGGATATTGGAGACATTATTGGAGACACTTGAATTCCAGCTGTCTGTATGTTTGGAGTCCTTGTGTAGCTGATATTCTGTGCAGAGCTGCCCAGAGCAGTGAAAAGGAATTCCCTGTATAGTTTGTACTGAACAAATTCCCTCTGGATTGCTTTGCCAGCATCAGTGGTGTGTCATTCAGGGAAGGCAGAGGGACAGCTCCATTCCTCTGAGGTGGGAATGTCTCGGTGTCCTGGAGAACGTGTGACAAGTGAGGGTGCAAGTGGGTGCATTTAACGTGAATAAAGTTCTATATTCTGTGTAACCTTAAGTTTGTTGTCATTCTCAGGTTTCAGAGGGCACTAAAAACTGTTCTGGGCAATCGGATTTGTGCTTTACCTGCAGCTGCTGCTGCCTCCAGCTCCCCAGTGCTGTTGGGGTGGGTGCAGTCAGTGCTGGGCTCTGCTGGGCAGCTCTGGAACGGCTCCATCTGCTCCAGGACCCTCAGCTTGCCCTGGGCAGAGCTGGGATTGCTGCACCAGGGAGGATAATCCAGCCTGCCCTGGGGGGGCAGGAAAAGGTCAGGGTTTGCTTTTTGAGCCCCTCAGTCCTGGTTCAATGGGAAAGACCCCAGAGCTGGAATTGCTTCATTTCAGGGTCCAAGCACCGGCTCCTTCTGCTGGGCAGGGTGGCAGGAGCAGTGTCTGCTGGAATGTGATGCTCCACAATTCCCAGGTGGGCTGAACGTGTTGGAAGGAAGGGGGCAGGTGTGGCTGCTGGTGCCGAGCAGTCCATGGAGAAGGGGATGAGATCAGTGCTGGATAAAAGCCTTGCTCTGAACCTACTCCTAAAATTGCCTTTTTTCCTCCTTCAGTGTTCTGGATTAAACCCAAACCCCGAGCCAAGTTCTTTTTTTAACCTCCATCTCTTCCCTCATTTGCCTTAATTCCAGTGCTGCACTTGGAGAAATAACTGATCAAACTCAGGATCTCCCTTTCCACCTCTGAAGGCACAACTGAGCAGTTCCCTCTGTGCTGTGTCACTGCAGCCCCCACATTCCCAGCACTGCCCAGCTTCCCAGATGGGACACGTGCTGCTGGCAGCAGCTGGAATGTGTCAATTAGAGCTGGGTCTGGCCAGGAGAGCAACTGCTGACGTCAAACCATGAATCAGCCTCTATTAGGGGATGGGAACGTGGGTTTGTTTGGGTTTGGGGAAAGGGGAGAGGGAGTAGAAGGGAAGTTTAGATGGAAAAAGCAAAGGGGGGGAGGGAGAAGATGTTTAAGTGGGGCTGAGATGCAGAAAGTTGGGAAGTGGGGGTCAAGTAGGATAAATGAATGCAGGGGACAGGAGAAGGAGCTGGACTTTGATGATCCCTGTGGGTCCCTTCCAGCTTTGGATATTCTGTGGTTCTAAGAACATGCTAACATTCCTGGAGGAAAGGCAAGCAATGAATTTACTTTTATTTGACAGAAGCAAAGTGCTCAGGCAGCACAGTGGATAAATAAAGCAGGGCCTGCCCTCATGCTCCCAGGGCTCAGTGAGGGGTGGCCACAGGGAAGGATCCTTTGCAGGGGTCAGTTTAAATCTAATTTGGAAAAAAGGAAACACTTCTGGGAAAGAAAAAAAGGGATTCTGAACCCTGGAAATATGTGGGTCCAGAGGACTTCATCCTCTGAGTTAACACACTGCATTTGAAGCACAGTTTTCCTCCAGAGCAAAGTCTCCCTGTCTATTAATTTCAAATCCCTCTTAATTTTCTGGCTGTCCTGTACCCCATAGCCAGGCTTCACACTTCTTTGCAATATAGCATGAGTTCTCATTTATTTAAAGAGATACAGAAACTTCTCTGCAAACACCTTGTTTCCCTGAGCCTGGTTCCTGCTGGGGGGTGGCTTTGAGGGGCTCAGTGCTGCAGCTCTTTTTCCTGTCAAAACGCCTCAGAAAGATGAAGTTTCCTCCCCAGGGGGGCTGTTGGTCCAGTCTCTCTGTGCTGATACATCTCAATGAGGTCCTTTGGATTTCCCTCCCACTCCTGCCACGCTGGACCTGCTGGATTTGCACACCTGGCTCAGCTCCTTTGCTGCCCCAACTCCCTGGAAGTGGAGCTGCCTTTTCCCTGCATGTGGAGCTGCCTCTTCCCTGCATGTGGAGCTGCCTCTTCCCTGGAAGTGGAGCTGCCTCTTCCCTGGATGTGGAGCTGCCTCTTCCCTGGAGGAGCATCCCAGTGCTGCTGCCAAAGCCCAGGTTCCAGGCTCTGCTCCTCAGTTCCCCTCCTGTAAAATCCTGGGTGTTGTGGGTTTGGGGAGCCCTGACTGACCCACTGCTGGGATGAGGGGAACAGGGAAAGGCCTGGGAAGGAGTTTCTGGTTCTAGAGCAGGGCTGGAATGACAAATAAGGCCCTGAATGAGGATAACACTGAATCCCCACTATGGAGCATCCTCCACTTGGGCCCTTGGCAGGGCAGCTGCCTCAGGGAAAAACAGCATTTAGAGAGCTTGAGGGGTTTATTATGCACAGGAGCTCTGGAGAGAGAACAGGCAGCCACATTCCAGGCTTTTCCCTGGTTTCTGAGGCCTTGGATTTGTGTCTCCTCAGTGATGTTCTTCTGTTGCTGTTGCAGGGAGCAGTTACACAATTACCTGCTTAATTCGATACAAAGAAGTTGCTGGAAAGACATTTGGAAAGTGACTCTGAAGCCCTCTGGCCTCAGCAGTCCCAGAGAAACTCCCCTGGGGTATTCCTATATATATATATATAAAAACCATATTTTTTATATATATATATATAAATATTCTTTATTTTATATATATTCTGTATTCTATATATTCTTTATTATCTGTTATATTTTATATATATTATATAAAAATAGATTTTAGATCTATAAATATATATTTATTTTTTTCTACATTTATAAAATATATATTGTATATTATATAATTATATATAATGGAATATAAATAATAAAGAATATATATATTTTTATATAAAAGCAAAGACTCATTTTAAGTCATGACTTTTCTTGAGTGAACAAAGCTATTTGGAGCTCCCCAGCACCATCACAGCAGAGGAAACTTCTCTCCTGTAGCAAAGCTGGGTGAAACATCTTGGGGAACAAAGGGGAGAGGCTCAAGGCAGTGGTGGAGACAGTCCTGGGGAGCTGCAAACATGAACAACCAGCCCTGGAGGTCCAAAGGGGCTCTTTCCCATTTGCAGGGGCTCATTCACAGCACATTGAGCTCCCCAGGGCACAGTGGGGCCTGTCCCTCTCCTCTCCAGGAGGCTCCTCACTGTTGTTGGGGGTTCAGTGGCCACCAGCCCAGAGATGTGGCCACCAGTGGCTCCTGGCTCCAAGATCCCACGTGTGACTCCTTTTCCCACCCTTCCCACAGCCAGTTGCCACCAGTCTGGCCCCAAACTGGTTCCACATGGTGGCACTGAAGTGCAGAGCCAAGGGGGGAACCTGCTGCCCACACAGGAGCTTCCAGGAGAGGCTCCACATCCTGGGATGCTGCTGGAGGGGATGCAGTGGGGACTGCAGGGGTTTGCAGTCCCACGTCCCCCTGCTCCCCAAGGTCATGGGAGAGCCCTTGGAAGGACCCTGCCCCAAAGGGGGCCTCCATCACATGGCAAAAGCAGGAGGGATGGGGAAAACCTCAGCAGTGGGAAGGAGCAGCAGGAAAGGCCAGAACTGCCCGAGGTGTTGTGTGAACAGTCCCAGAAACCCTTGAAGGAAGAGCAGAAATTGTCCTTCTGGAGGTTGTGTGAAGGGATGAGGGGAAGGTGAGGAGTGTCACCAGCCTGGAGACTGTGTGAGCCCTGAGTGCAGGTGAGGCCACAGCCCTGGAGGGACCCTCACCCTGTCCTGGGCTCTCAGTCCCAGTTTAAGGCTGGGGAGCCTCAATGCTGAGTCTCACACACTCAGGATTTGCCTCTGTCCATACAGAGAGCCTTGTAAAAGACAGAGTCATAAAATCACTTGGGCTGGAAAAGATCTTTAATTAGGCTCATTGAGTCCAGCCATGAATTCCCAACTGACATCATTCCCTGTGCAGGGAAGCAGCTGCAGGCACTGCAGCCCAATCCTGGGAAAGCAGGTGCAAGTACTGCAGGCAGCAACTTGACTCGTGCTATGGATGGGTTTGGCCTCCCTGTCGATCCTTCTCCCTGAGATTCTCCCTGTGCAGGTGGAGGTTCGTGGGATGGGGAGGAGAACAAAGCCCTTCACTGGTCCCGTGGTGATGTAGCCACAGGAAACGTGAGTTTGTAACTCCTTGTTGATGTTTTCTCTGCAGTGGTTTCTATTTCCTCTCACTCTCCTGGTGACCTCCTCCTGGGGGTTGTCCTGTTCCCCGGGGTGGTGTGAGGAGCCTGTGAGGTTCCTGACCTTGGTCCTGCAAACATTTCAGTGGAAGTTGTGTGAAACACCTGTGGAAATGAGGGAGAGAGAATGTCAGGGCCATAAATACAGCCCCAACCCAAAGCCTGGGTGTGAAGAGACAAGTACAGTGAGCAGCAGCTTCCCTGGAGCCCATCCTGCAGGAACATTCAGCCCAGCCTGGGTTTGCTTTCTGTCACATCCAATCAGCCAAATTCAACATCATGTTGCACAGAGAGGCTCGGGACAGAAATATGGGGTTTGTGTGGCATAAAAGACACGTAAAAACCCCTCGGGGCAGGAGGAAATGACTCAGCACAACAGCTCTGTCCCTTCTAATGGGATCTGTGCTTCAATCCTGCACTAAATGAGTGTCCCCATGTGCTCTCCACACTCCTCCCCCTCGTGCCTGGTCCTTAAAAGTCCCGACATCAGCCCGTTCATACAACTGCTCCTCACGCCTTGTGCCTCTCCCTGAACCTGCCCTGAGCTTTCTCCTGGCCCTTCTCTGGGGCTGTTTGTCCTGCTTTTCCCAAGTTCTCAACTTGCAAAGCCCCTCCAGAACTCCCTGGCTGATCCTGCCTTTCCAGGTGGCCTCTCCTCGTCGCTGCCCTTGGAGCTACATCCCTTCAGCAGGTCAGTGAAACCACCCAGCCCTCGGCTCTCTCTGCTCTCCCAACCACCAGCAGAGACCTTTGGTTCCCCTCTCCCAGCTCAGGGAACTCAGCAATCCTGCCTTCACTTCCTGCCTTCCCAACCTGGTGAAAAGAAACATTCCTTGCCTTTTTCCCAGAGCTCTGAGTTAATCCCAGCTGTGCTTCCATGCTCCAGGGCAGGTGGCATTTTATGTTCCATCCTCCCGTGGGAAATGTGGATGTGCATGTGCACAGCAGTTCCTTTCTCCTTCCTCAGTACACAAACAGCTTGAGGGGTTTTAGGAATGTTGGATTTAACTACAAATAGTCCGGACAGTTCAGCAAGGCCATGAGAGGTTCCTGCCTCCCAAGGGAGTTGGCTTTGTCCTGAGATGGAGCCAAGAGTCAAGGGGGGAAAAAACTTAATTGTGGATTAGGAATTACTGTTCCCAAATTATTTAATTGACTGATTTGCTTCTCTGGGCTTGGGCAGATTTCGTTTTGTGTTGTTTTGGTTCTTGTTACCCTGAGGCCTTTCCTTCCCTGGGCTCTCCATGTCAAGGAAGGTGTTAAGAAACTCCTTTCCATGGGAAGTGGGGCAGTTATTGGGATCTGTTTGTGGCCTTTGTGGACAGAGCTCAGCTCTGATAAGGATCAGGAAGTGACACTTCCTTCCTCCACACTGTACTTGGGTTGGATCCTGAGCCCTGCTCTGTGCTCATCCCTGGAGCAGCACAAAGGCTGCAGCACAGACCCACGAGGTTCATGGAGAGCTTTTCCAGCTCTGCACTTACAGAGAGGAACCAAACTGTGATGAATCTTTTTTGGGAGGACATTCAGCTCCTGGGAAACAGCAGGTTTGGCACTGAAGCCAAAGTTCTGAGGAGGAATCACCGTTTCATCCTGGGCTGTTAAAACGAAGGAGAACAAATCCACCAGTCACCACTAATTAATTTTATTTTGAAATATTTACTTGGGCTGAAGTAGTAGCTGCTCTTAAGTATTTAAAGGATTAGCTTCCTGCTTGTCTTTTGTGCCTGCAACCATTTATTTAAGCTGTTGCTGCAAATCGTGCTGTTAACCTGTCAGGAGAGGCTTTAACCTTCCTTCCCCTGTCAGTGGGAAGTGCCTGGTGCACATGGTCCTGCTGATGGGACAGGGAGAATTAATACACCCCCAGGCTGCTTCCTCAAGGAGGGGGAAGAAGAAATTAAATATGGTGATAATTGTCCACATTAGGATATTGTAAAGCCTAAGGAGGGGCTGTGAAAAGTTTAGGGCACATGAGCTGTTTGGAAATGCATCCCACTCCTGTTACCAGGGCAAATCATTCCCACCCCTCCTGCTGAGCTGCCAGCAGGCAGCAGCTCCACTGCACTCAATCCAGCAGCCTGACCTTCACTCTGTTTCTCAGACCTTCCTGCACTGTGTTTGGTGCAGGTGGTCAGACCAACCCACCCAAACCAGCTGCCCAGGGACAGTTCAGTCACACAGAGCAACAGATTCTGAGCTAAGGCCACGTTTGGCAAAGGGAATGTCAGTGGATCTAGAACAAATCCGTGAGGAGTTGAGAACTCACCTCAGCCAGGATTATTTCTTGCTCTTACACGCATATTTAGTGTAAAAGGGAAAGATTTCAGGTCCTTAAACCTTCAAATAGTAATTAGCATCACCATATAATTTTCTAGCAGTTGTTTTCATTAACATGTCGTTAGAAGGAGTCTGCCAGCTCCTATAATCCTCATTTCTCTTGTCTCTCAACACTAACAGTCCATGTCACAGCACGACTCCTTCCCTGCTATTTTGGGTGGTTCTTTTCCAGACAAATGTCTTATTTTCTCTGTATTTGATACTGCAGGTCAAGTGAATCCTCTCTGCCTTTGGTTGCACGAGAACAGAGGCAGGATTGTAACTCAGCCAGTGCAAATGTGCTCCTAAAAATAGGCCAGTGGATGGTCTCCAACTTCAGACACAAAAAGTGTGTTTGTAAAGGTTTCTCTTTGTTGTGTGGCCACATTTCAGATCACTGAGGAGACACTTCAAAGTTCAGCTCCCAAACAGCTCGTGGGTTAATCCTCCCACATGAAACAAAGGCAGCTCTTTGACTGGACCCGTGGTCGGATGTGACTCGGAGCACTCGGAGCTGGCAGCAGCTCCACTCGGGATTTATCATCCCTTTAGCAGGGTCAGTGCTCCAGGACACTGTCCCAGACAGATGTCTCCCCCCCCTGGGATACAGGCCAGGTCTCCAGAGGGAGAGGAAGGGCCACATCCCTTCTCCCAACTCTGCCTTAGGCATGGAAAACAATTTCTGGCCCCCTGCAAGAGGGGCCAGAGCTTGCAGGACACTGCAGTGACACTGTTTGGCACCAGTGATGAGCAGCAGAGGTGGCACTTCAGGCAGGGAAGGAATTGATTGATTAAAGGGCAATTTGGGGGGAGAAGTTGGAGTTCATTGTTCCAGGCTCTCTCTGGATTTCCTTTTTGTCCTTTCACCTCTGACTCTTGGCTCTCAGCAGAAAAGGGGTCGCTTGTCCTTCCTCTCTCTGACTTTGTTTGGGCTGTGAGGCCTCCAGGGCATGGCCTGTGCCTTCACCTGTGTGCAGGAGCCCAGTGGGGGAGCTGTGCCGAGTGAACTATAAATAGGAGCCTGTCCAGCCCTGTGGCATCCGAGCTTGCTAAAATTGCCTGCTCTGCACTCCTGTGACAAGTGTTGACTCAGCTGTCGGGGAAAGGAGGAACTGAGAAGTGTCTCCACAGGCAGTTCCAGCCCCAGGGCTCCCTGTTGAGCTCTGCTTTGGGCTCAGTTCTCCCTTTGCCTCTGGGAGTTCTGCTTTTTCTGTGTGTCAGTGACGATTCCTGGTGTCTGCCTGGTGACATTTGGGCAATTCAGTTTCAGAAGGACTTGTGGTGTCACCTATTTCACTCTCCAGCTTGTGCCTCAACACCTCGTGCTTTTATTTTGCCTTTAGCCCCTTTCTGGAGGAGGTTGACTCTGCAGCAACGTTTTTGTGCCATTCCTGATGTCACTGTGTGGTTTTGTCACTCTCTGCTCACACTGGGGATTAAATGAGTGACAGGGATAAAAGGAATGAGGAGGTCCAAGCCCATCCCTTCTCTCTGAGAAGGTCGTGGATGTTCTTTGGGAATGACTTTCAAGGGGGTTAAAGCAGGGATTGTTCCTGCTCTCACTTCTCTGCTGAGGGATGAGTGAGCAACCACGAGGGTGCTGCTGCTGCCTGTGCTTTGCAGAGTGCAGGACCTTCACTTGAACTCCCAGTGCAGGTGGCTGAAGAAAACCTCTTTTATTCTGTGCTAGAAAATTCTTCTAATGTACTTAAAATGATTTTGTGCACCATGTCCACACCCTGCTCAAAGCAGTCGAAGTGGGAATAAGTTGCTCTGGTCCTGCCTACCCACACCTGTCCACAGAAGCTGCAGTTTATGGACACAGCTTTGAACAGCCACACGTGAACATGACATGAGGTGGCAAATCCCAGCTTGTCTCCTGCTTGGAGACCATCCCTGCAGGTGCCACAGGCTCCATCCTGGCACAGAACACCAGGGTGAGTGTGCAGGCAAAGCCAAACCCTCGGGAGCTGTCAGCCCTGGGCTCCTGCAGAGCCTCTGCTGCTGCCACAACCGCTCAGAGGCAGGAGATGTGGCCCCAGCCACTCAGCATTTTGGCAGGACAACCTGGCAAAAAGGGAGCAGGGGGGATAAATGCATCCTGCTTTCCTGGGCCCCTCCTGCTCCCGCTCTTCCCGGGATTTAAGGGCTCTCTTGGCTAATTTGAGGGGCTGTGCTTTTGAGAAGAGGACTGGGAATGAACTCGGAGAGGTGACTAAGCCCATCTCCTCCTCTGTCTGACAAATCCAGGCTTTGTTCCTGACTCAGCAAATGCAATGTCATCCCTTGGGTACAGCCCTGAGGTAGCAGGCAGAACAGCAGCAAGGAAATCAGCCTCTCCTCCAGGGCACAGCTGTCCAGCTGAGTTAGTGTCACTGGGAGCATTCCTTATTGCCCTTCCTTCCTTGTATTCCTGCTAAAGCTGGGGTGAAAACCCTGTGGCCACTGTGGTTTGAGCACCACTGCAGGGAGCAGAGGAACCTGTCCTGGGTTGTTTGTACTGTCCTGGCTGCCAAAATCTCCTCTCCATTTACAAAATACTTTGCATATCCCAAGCTGAAGGAAGGTCTCCTCTCTCCAAAAGCCACAGAGGTGAAACCATCGTGACACGACCAGCAGGGACCCAACAGTTCTGCAACCAGGCAGATTTTTGTCTCCTGCTCACCTATTGATTTATTTATGATGTGAATTCAGGCAGCTGTAACTCTGCAGTCTCTGCTGTTTCTCCCCTGATATCACAAGCACAGCAGCACCTCTTGGATCTCTGGCTGAACCCTCTGTAATTTGAGTACTTGGCCCAAAGTGGCCTGAGAGCCTTGGACCAAAAGCTCTCTTTGCTACCAGGAGCACTTTGCACTAATTAAACTTCATAAAATTCTTCCTGCTTCCATTTTCAGATGACAAACTGGAGAGCTGAGCTCAGCTGACAGACCAGAATTATGTCAGTTCAGCTTCAGAAATCGTTCTGAGGAAAAAATACAGTTTTTCTCACTTTATTTCCATCTAACATTGGGGGGAACAGCAAGTTATGGCTGTTCCCAAAAGAAATGATAAATTCCTGTGGCTCAGGGAGCAGAAGGTGTTTCCCACTCAGGTGGCATTTTAACCAAGGGTTGTTCACTTGCTGTCCTCCCCCCAGAGAACAGAAAGCCAGGGTCTGCCCAGCTCAGAGTCCTCTTCCCTCCCCAGTCACCACTCCAGATTACAGAGAGAGAAGCAAAAAAATCACTGCTGGTGAGTTGTTAATTTTTTTGCCATATTTTGGGGAGCTTCCATTCAGCCCCGATGCAGCTGTTGAAATAGCAGGAGTTGCATTTTTATTTTGCCTAATCCACTAAAAGATGTTCCTGTTATCCACATCCATGTGTGCTGGGCTCTTCTTAACCTCTGGACTCCATCTGTGGGATTCACATAAAATATTGTTACTATGACGTGAGGCAGACTATTTTATTTTAAATTTAATTTAATTTAATTTCATTTCATTTTATTTCATTTTGTTTTATTTTATTTTTTTATGTTGTAAAAAACAAACTCAAAACACACTAAGAAAACAAGATGGGGGACTGCAAATGAGCTCTGGATCCCAGACCCAACCCAATCGAAGAATCATGAAATGGTTTGGGTTGGAAGGGCCCCATCTCATTCCAAGCCCCTGCCATGGGCAGGGATGCCACTCACTAGACACCACCCCTGGATGTGGAGTTCTGAGTTGGTGTTTTGGAGATCCAGTGCTCAGATCAACGATTCACATCCCAACTGAGACAACACTTGGGTTTAAAAGGGAAATTTTGAGCAAGAGACGGTGGCCAAAAACATTTCAGAGTTTAAATTTATGCCAGTAATGTCCATGCTGCACCTCAGGAAAACCCTGACCTGCAGCCCTGTCCTTCCCACTGGATTCCCAGAGAGCCATGAAAAAACAACCAGAATAAAACTGGTGTGCTTGGGAAGTGTCCTTACGAAAGATCCATCAGATTATTGCGATAGTTTCGTGTCCCTGGCTGTGGAGAAGGACACACAGCCTGGGCTGAAGGCTCAACTGCACTGGTGAGTACAAAGAGAGCAACTGGGATCCCAGAAAGCCAGGCTTACAGGAATTTAGGCCAGTTAGGGCAATTCCAGAAGAAATTGAGGCTGTATAGTTTTATTTAACACTGGATGGAGTGGGAAGACCGGCAGAAACCTTCTGTAGTGAGTAATTGTTTGGATGCAGCAACAGCTCAGCAGCTCAGGTAAATCCCTGAGTGAGCTTTGAGGAGCTCAGCTAATCCAGGTTAGATGTGGGATAGAAAGGAAAACAAAGGGAATGTGTCTTGGATCTCAAAGATCTGCACACTAAATGTTTAATGGCTGCTAATTTCTTTTCCTCGTGAGGGACGTGCACGTGGCACATCCTGCGGCTCCAATTCCAGCTTTTTTATGGTCCTGTGAGTCATCCAGGCAGAAAGTGACTGAATGCTTTGATAAATACCTAATTCTAATAACAGGAATCATATATGCCAATAATGCCCGGAAAATGATCCCTACTTCTGCAGCAGGACAGCGTGACAGCATCAGCTGGGCTCTGGTTCCCTGAGCAAGTGAAATGCCAGGGAATTTTCTCAAACTTTACAGCACAGAAGGTCACCTGGAAGGGAATTTATCTATTTAAGAGGAACAGTGGACTGGAAACAGCTTTACTGGACTTGAGCCTGTGGTTCCAGGAGGTCCAGCTGTGTCAAATTCAATTCTTGGAGCACTAAATCCACCTTTATCATCCTATCCCTGCTTGTCCTTGGGATTATCATGACCCCAAGGTCTCTTTATCTGTTAAATTCCAACGTGGCTGATGCATTTGAACTTCCCCCTAGCAGATCTCTCGCTGTACTACCTGGATTTGCCTCTGCCATCTTTCACCTGGGGAGGGCGGGTTGGAAAATTATAACCCTTAAAAATAAAATAAACAGAGCTGTGTCTCTGTCACTGATTTCTGAGCAGGGGGAGGGTGGTTTGGAAAATTATAATCCTTAAAAATAAAATAAACAGAGATGTGTCTCTGTCCCTGATTTCTGAGCATGGGAAGGCCTTGTAGGGAGACCAAATAGACACGATCCATCTTCCTGCACAAAGTCCTGTCAACAGCAAAACTGCTGCAGCCTTAATCAATCTGGTATTACTAAAATGCCCCTCACATCACTCTCCACCTGACCAGCAAAGGCTTTTAACATTTAAAAGCTGCACTAAGGCTCTGTATATGTTTGGGACAAGGCCAAGTATCGAATGATGCCGAGGGATCGATATTGATGATCTAGAGCAGCGCTGTGACTTGGCCCTGCCCTACGTGGTTCTCCATATGGTTCATTGGAAAACCTTTTAGAGGCTTAACAAGGAGAGCATTGCAGTGAACGTGGGCAAAAATGCACGAGGATAAGCACAAAGGCTCCAGGAGCCTCCTGGGGTCTCAGGTCTTACAGTAAGCCCTGGGGTTTAATGGGATCGGGTGAAACCCTCTGTGCAGGGAGGTGGGATGGAAGGGGTCGGACAGCTGTTGAACAAACACTCTGTAAACATTCCTGCTTGGCAAACACTGAGCAGACAGCCACGGTGCAGGCAAAGACCTGGAAGATCAACAAAGACCTGCAGGTCTGGGTGAAAAGCTGCACTGGAGCACAGTCAGTGGCAGGGCTTGGGGAACACAGGCTTTGGGATGCACAGGCTTTGGGATGCACTTGGGGCTGCGAGGGAGGAACCTTAATAAAATAACCAACAGGGTTTGGGGGCTGAAAGCTCAGTGTGGGTCAACATGACCTCAAGGACACTGTGTGAGGGAGCAGGGTGAGGCTTGTGTTGTGCTGTGGCGATAAGAGGCAGAGATTAGCAGAGGTGGCTCTGGGGGCTCGGCCCCGGCTTCCCAGAAAAGCCCTGAGCGGCAGAAGGTGCCGTGAGCTGGTGTGTCAGAACTGCACGTCCTGGAAAGGGCAGGAGGCAAATTAAAGCAAGTTAACGCTGTCAAAACCCATTAGGAAAGTCAGATGTTGCCCAGAGGGATGTGAGGGAGGCAGCGTCCAGTGCTGGTACCAGAGCACAGATGTCAGTGGTGTCTGAAGTCCCACCATGGGCTGGGGGGAGATTGTGTCAAATTTGTCCCATCTCCCTTCCAGAAAACTGTGGAAATCTCAGAAAAGTAGGATTGTAGGAAGAAGGATGTGGGTATGGTGGAGGTGTCATCTTTTGGGGGACTCAGCTTCCTCAGCCTCCTCTAGGATGAGAGGACGTGGTCTTATGCTGTGCCAGGGGAGGTTCAGGTTGGACATCAGGAAGAATTTCTTCACAGAAGGGGTGATTAGACATTGGAAGGGGCTGCCCAGGGAGGTGGTGGAGTCATTGTCCCTGGAGGGGTTCAAGGAAAGACTGGACATGGCACTCAGTGCTCTGGTCTAGTTGGGATGGTGGTGTGGGGTGATAGGTTGGACTCGATGATCTCAAAGGTCTTTTCCGACCTAATTGATTCTGTGATTCTGTGATTCTTTTGCTGCTCCTTAAGCTCACTTTCCTATTGTAAAAGTTGGATTTTTCTTAAAAAATAATAATGTAAAAAAATCCCAACAAACAAAGCAAAAACCCAAAACAAACCCCTGAGAGGACCAGGGCCACCACTGTGGTCCCTCCCAACCTTATACATTCCATGTTTCTGTGGTTCCGTGACTTGTCTTTCTAGGATAAACCCCTAATATGTGACTATAATTTGAGATATTCCAGAACCACCCAGACACAACCTTGGGATGATCCTGATGGAGCAGCGAGCTTGGACCTGATGCCCCACTGTGTTCCCTTCAATCTGACCCTTCCTGTGTGTCTGTGATTTGTGTCTTTCTAGGATGAACAGTTAATAAATCGCTGTAATTTGAGATACTCCAGAACCATGTGGATGCAATTCTGTTCCACGTGCTCTGGGATGTTCTTGCTTGGGCTGGACCTACCGTGGTCCCTTCCAACCTTATACATTCCATGTTTCTGCGGTTCTGTGACTTGTGCCTTTCTAGGATAAACCATTAATATGTCACTGTAATTTGAGATACTCCAGAACCACCTGGACACAACCCTGTTCCATGTGCTCTGGGATGACCCTGCTGGAGCAGCGAGGTTGGACCAGTGACCTACTGTGGTCCTTTCATCCTGACCCATCCTGTGTTTCTGTGACTTGTGTCTTTCTAGGATAAACCATTAATACAACACTGTAATTTGAGGTATTCCAGAGCCATGTGGATACAATCCCGTTCCACGGGGATGATCCTGCTTGAGCAGGAAGCCTGGACCCACTGTGGTCCCTTCCAACATTAGACATTCCATGTTTCTGTGGTTTTGTGACTCGTGTCTTTCTAGGATGAACCATTAATATGTTACTGTAAGTCGAGATATTCCAGAACCACCTGGACACAACTCCGTTCCACGTGCTCTGGGACCTTGAGGTCCCCCTTCTGTGGTCCCTTCCAACCTTACACATTCTGTGGTTCTGTGACTCCTGTATTTCAAGGATAAACCATTAATATGTCACTGTAAATTGAGATATTCCAGAACCACCTGGACACATCCCCGTTCCCTGTGCTCTGCTGGCCCTGCTTCAGCAGCGAGCTTGGACCAGATGCCCCACCGTGGTCCCTTCAACCTGGCCCATCTCCGACTGGTGCCTTTCTAGGGCAAACCGTTACCACGCCCCTGTAATTTGGGTTTTTTTATTAAGGAAACAGGAGAGTTTTCCCCCCGCGGTTTCGCCGAGACCCCTCCGCGCCGCGGGGCCGCCATGGCGGCCGAGCCCTGAGGGCGCGGGCCCGGCCATCTTGTCGGGGGGCGGAGCGGGGCCCGTCCCGCCCCGTGCTCTGCCTGCCGGGGCCGCCCGGCCCCGCCGCACTCGCCGCGGACGCCGAGGGGAGCGGGTGCTCAGCGGCCGCGGGGAGCGGAGCCCGAGGGGAGCGCTGCCGCAGCCCCAGCGCCATTGCCGCCCTCAGCCCGCCATGGCAGGTGAGCCCGTCCTCGCCCTCCTCCTCCCGCCGCCGCCCGCCCTGGGGGAGCAGCCCCGCGGCGCTGCCCCGCCGCGCTCTGCCCTCCCCGCCGCCTCCCGCCCGCTGGCAGCCCCGGCCCGGCCCCCCCAGCCCCGCGCCGCTCGCCCCGAGCTCCCCGCGGGCCGGGGGGTCGCGGGCTCCCCGCAGCCTCCACCATGTTGCCCGGCCGCGGTTCACCTTGGCCGCGCGGAGCCCGCCCCGTCCGCACCTCTGCTGCTCTGCCTTTCATTTCGTATTTCGCGTGGAAAATAAACCCTTCCCCGTTCGCTCTCCTGCGGGCTCGGCATCGCCCGCAGGGGCTGGGGAAGGGGCGCGGGGGATGCCCGAGGTGGCACCTGCGGCGGGGTCACCTGCCCGGCGGGGCCGCGGGGGGATCGGTGCCCGGCTGGGGTGTCGGGCGTTCTCTGCGTTCCTTTGACATCGTTATTTTTTTTAATTTGATAATTGGTTTTTTTTTTTCCTCCTTTAATCTGAAACAAAATGGGTGGCAGAGCCGTGAGCTTGCAGATGGGATGGAGAAATGCAGGTTAATTCTCCCCTGGTCCTGAAGGGGTGGCCTCGCTCTTCCCTGATCCCGTTCTCGTGATACGCTTTAAAGGGTTTTTTTTCCCCTCCTTTTAATTATTTGTATGCCTTTTTTTTCTTTCTTTCTTTTTCAGTGCACATCGAGGCAGTAAATATTTCAATTTTCTGCTTTTGACTTGCGAGCCACGTTCGATATCATGTGTGGTTTTCTTTTGTTTTAAGGTACATTTTGGGTAGAAATAAGTGATGTATGTAGCTCAAAAAAATGCCTGAACAAAGCTTGTTGAAAGCCTTTGATTAGATTTCCTCACTAGAATAACAACTAACAACCATTATCATTCATTCCTGTTATTAGTGGCTTTTGCCTTTTCTCGGAAAAGCTGGGAATGAGGCAGAGGCTTTACAGTTTCATTCTTATCCCTTCATTTTGGAGCCGTCGGTGTCATGTTGGAGACGGGGGAGCCCAGCCCTGGGGACAATTTGGGTTCCCCTGGCCAGGTGAGTGCAGGCAGGGCTGACCCCAAAGGCAGCAGCAGCAGCAGAGCCAGTGGAAGATTCTGGCAGGGAAGGGAAATCCCCAGATGTGCTTTAAGACAAGGTAAAGACCTTGCCTGTTAATTTTTTCCATCTTATCATTTCCCTCACGCAGCTGACTCTCACTACAGTTGAGTGCCAGGTAAATACAAGGCTTCCTGTTGCTGATGAGCTTTATTTTTCAATAAAAACACCAACTGCTGTGTTTTCACGGGGAGCTTGATATGTCTGTGTGTTCTCACTGCAGCACAGTGCTGCCAGGCTTGAGCAAGCTTTAAATTACCCAGTTTAAGCTTACAAAGTAAGCTGGTTTGGGGAGTGCTTTTCCTGGCAGGTGGAGTTTGATGCAGGCTGTAAAACGAAGTGGAGGAGCAGGACAAATGCTGGAGTGATGAGCTGCTGATGAGCTGCCCAGTGCCAGAGCCAGACTTAACTGCACACCTTGATCTGCCAGGTGATTTCACTGAATCCAGGATTATTGCAACAAGTAGCTCAGGTTAGCAAACTGGAAAATAATCCTGGAGATATGTAGAACAATTGGATTAGTAGTTGATGAGCTCTCACCACCCCACTCCTACCTCCAGTCATGATCCACATAGCTGGAAATTAGAGCAGTGTTAACCTGGAGATACACTGAAACAAATTCAGCCTTGGGCGAGCAAGGAGGTTTAAACAACCCCCGAGATTTTTATCGTGGATTTAAACAAGCCTCTGGCATTAGTAAAAATGCCAGTAGGACTTAAAAATGTCTTGTCAGAGCCCTGGGGATAAGAGGAGTTAACACTGGGATTCTCAGGGGTGTGTTGTGCTCTTGCTGGGCCTTAACAGGCCGCATTCATATGGTTTAAAATCCATGGCAGTCTGTCACCGGGCTGGAAACCCTGCCCTGAGCCAGGCTGAGCTTTGCTGAGCTGCTCTCTCGAGGCACGCGGCTCTCACGGAAGGAGCAGGGTGGGAAGGAGGTTCTCTGAGCACGGGGCTGTTGCTCGTTCTGCATCTTCAGCACGGAAATAGATTGGAAGGAAAAGCAGCTTTTCAAATGGGATAATTTGGGCCGCAGGTTGATGGGTGTTTCCTTTGAGGACAATTTAAACAGTCCCCGTCCATCACCCCCTCCCGGCCCTGCCATGACCCCCTCGGAGCTGGGACCCCTGCGTGGCTGCTCAGTCAGGGATTAGCCCATAAAAACATTGTGTTTGTATGGAAAACCACATCTGGGGAATTTTTACCTGCTCCTGACCCTCCCTGAGCCCAGGTAGATCTCAGTGTACCTCCCTAAATCCGTACTGGGTGGAATCTGTGTGTGTGTGGGGGGGGGGCTTTTTACAGCTGCTGAAATGAGCATTTCTGTCTTCTGTCCTTCAGTCTAACAGGGAGTTGAGTTCCAGTGGAGAAACGAAAGTCGTGTCTTCGCTGGTATTGTTTGGGTGGAGAATCTGTTCTTCAGGGGGAGCTTGAGATAATGGCAGTGTTTGAGGATTATATTGGTTTTTTCCTGAAAGAAAACTTTAACTGTGGATTTTCCCCACGTCATTTAGAAGACTCGTTCGAAGATGCTGCATTTGTATGCAGTTGCCATTTCAAACGTTTTCTGCCTTCGATTCTGTCAGTATGTTTTGGTTTTTCATTGATTTTCTTCCTGGTGTAGCCAAATCTGCCGACTTCCTCCGTGTGCTGGGCTGTCCTGTAGTGCTGTGTGGCTTTGTTGTGCTGTGTAGGTTGATTGGAGACCATTGAAAACTAAATGGGTGTAACTTCACCCATTCTCGGTGTGGATTCCTCCAGAAGGGGCTGTTAAACTGCTCTAACGACCTGGTCTGACCTGCAGCATTTAACCTCTTCCAGTCCCGGAGTGCAGGGAAGCCACCTGGAACACCCTTGGGTGACAAACTGGTGTCCCACCCAAGGGGATTTTTGGAAGCTCATTGAATCAGGGAATGGTTTGGGTTGGAAGGGACCTTGAAGTTCATCTCATCCCACCCCCTGCCATGGGCAGGGACACCTTCCACCAGCCCAGGTTGCTCCAACCTGGCCTTGGACACTTCCAGGGATCCAGGGGCAGCCACAGCTTCTCTGGGAATTCCATCCCAGCCCCTCCCCACGTGCAGAGGGAGGAATTTCTTCCTGAGATCTTGTTTGGCTGTAGCTGTTCTGTGTTTGTGTGGACCACGCTAAGAAATCTCAAGCCCCGAAAGTTTCTGTGGGGCCATTTCTTCCGTAGATTTATTTTGCTTCCAAACACTTTAGCATTTGTCCTTACTGGAGAAAAAGCAGATGGCTGCACAGAGCCCTTGTTCTTCCATTGAGGATGATGGTTTATATGTGGCTGGAAAAATGTATTTTTGTATCAAGTGTTGTTTTTTATGAAGCCTTAGTGGTCAGGACACTGACTGACAAATTACAGGGGGGTTTATTTTACTTAAAAGCTGCAGGAAAAAAATATTGACAGTTAGGATGAGTAGAGAGATGTGCTCCATGATGTAGGGAAGGCAGGAAGAAAACAGATGATTCCAGTGGAAGCTCTTGCTGTGGTCCCCAGCATTCCCAGGGGTGAGGTGTGTTCAGGCACTGCCAGCCTGGTGGGGCTGCACTAAATATTTCTGTCAGTACCAGGGAGCACATTTGCTTTATGGCCAAATGTTTTCACTTGTTGTGAGCTGTCTTTTCTTTGATGGCAGGAAAGAAATGTGATGGTGTTTGGCTGTTTTCAGGTTATGGGAAGGAAATGTTTGCTGTCTGAACGTTCTGCTGGAGATGGATCTAAATGGAGATTTCTTGCCACGGTAATTTGGTCATGAAAGGAGCAGAGCTACTTCCTTGGAAGGGGAACTGGGGTGTTGAGACATCGCTGGCGCTTGGTGGGGGAAGGAAGGAGGAGGGAGAACCCGTCTGCTGGTTCAGAAACCTCCTGTTCGAGTTTTATTTCTTCCACTTGACCGTTTCTGTTGCCAAACAGCAATACAAGTGTGTGTGGCACCAGGCATTCCACGTGCCTGGTCATGCACGACCTGTCCCCTGTGGTTTCCTAACCCGAGGTGCTCCAGAGGGCTGATGAGCTTATTTTTTGGTCCTGAATGTTGTCATCAGTCTCATAAATAGTGACTCATCCTTCTCCCTGTTCTGCACAGAGCTGTGACTCTCTTCCTGGCTGTGCCGTGGCCCCAGAGCAGGGTTGGGCTGCTGGGCTTGGAGAGCTCTGGGATGGTTTTGGGAAGGAGGAATTGGCCACCAGGGTCCCAGCCAGGCTGTGCTGGGAGTCCCAGAGCAGGGTTTGGTTGTCTCTCCATCCTGTGTTGTGGGAGAGGATGGAAATTGTGTTCCTGTCCCACAGCTCCTTTGCTGCAGAATGACTGGGCTTGAGGTAATCGTAAAACTACTATTTAATGGGTTTATAATTAGAAACTCAATGATCTAAATCTCCCTGTGTCTCAGTTCTCAGGCCAGAAGATGCAAGTGCTGGTTTAGGGAGGGGAATGCACTTAACCAACCAAGTGTCTGCTCTTTTTAAAATTTTATTATTATTTTTAAAAAGCGGCTTCAGGACAGAATAAACATTGTCCTATTTTGGTGAAAGGGAGTTTCACCAGAGTTCCTTCTCACCACATTCAGGCAACCAGGATATTTTACTCCTCCCCCAAAACCTGTGTTACTGTAATAATATCGATGTGTATTGGTAAGAGAGTTACACGGAGGGAGGGCACGGAGGGAGGGCACGGCTGGGCTTTAACTTGCGTGTTTTGGAGACTGACCCATCTCTCTCCTCGGAACGAGGGATGTTTTCATCTTGTACTTGCGTCACCAAAACGCCTGAGAAAACAAGCTTTGTCTGAGAGTTGTATTTTTAGGAGCAGATGTGAGCAGAGGAGTCCAGTTGTAGTTGTGGAGGAGGAGCTGAGAGTGACCGCAAGGTACCTGGGAGTGTCTGAGCTCTGAAAGCAACAACTGAGCTGGTTTATGTGTGTTTGGATTTATCCAGCATTTCCCTCTTATCTCCTCAGTGATAAACGGGACTGTTTAAATTTCTCACCCACTTTACACTTGCTTTAGATTAAAACTGCCTGAAGGATGAGCTGAAACGAGTCTAAATGGTGATGGGGGGGTTGACTCACCATTATTTAGTTTTGACTGTTTGGAAATGTTCTGACTCACTGAACTGATGTCGACTGGCTCAATGTCCCCCAGTTTGCGATTTGTTGTCGGAATTTATTTTTAAATCAAACTATTGCAGGGCCTGTGGCATTGCAACAGTTGGCTGAAGCACTTTGGGAATGCCTGGTAGCAGGAAA